CCCCAAAACCCCAAAACCCCAAAACCCCAAAACCCCTTAAGGGAATAATAAAATTGAATTGATTCTTAATGTCACTACCAAAGGAAAATAGGCTTGATGGTGATCTTTTTATATAATTTTCGTAGAAGAGAAAAGTAAAATTATATTCAAAAACGCACTTCTTCAATGCAAAGCTGAGTATGTCAAAATCTTATACTCTTAATCAAATTTTCCCCACCATCTAAACTAACAACATCTTAACAATGAGATAGGTATATCAGAGGGAGGAATAAATCATACCAGGAACGAGTCGATGCGAACCGTAGACAAATCGAGAAGGAGGTATTTCAAAAATCATCTTTCTAGAGATATCGTAAATTAGCCAAACTTGACGAGAAAGGAGAAGCAGAAATAAAACAAAAATAATTTAGCAGTTCGAAAACAGATAGAAGAGAAAATTAAAGAACTTGAGAGAAAGAATCTCAAAAAAGCTCTTGCTTCTGAACGGGCTTACCAACGTACTATGGAAGCAAACGAGTTATTCAAGCTTGACACCAGAAGGAGACTACATGAAAAGGATCAAAAATTGAAAGAAAGGCTGCTCAACTTGAAGCATAACCGGCACAGAGAGTCAAACCCTGAGCTCCAAGGTACATCTCACTCACTAGAATATAGAGCCTGACGACTGTATGATTTCCAATGTGCAGAAATTATCCAGTAGGAATTCGTTGCAAGTCAAAGAGGAATATATCAAACATGACTTTAAAAGTAGCCCCAAAAATAAAATTATAGATGAAATCGAGAAATTTTTATAGAAACAAAACCTCAAAAATCCTGCAGTAGGATTCTACAGAGGAAAGATTCCAAGTCAAGCTTGGATAATATCTTCCAAGCTTCGTTAAGCAAGCATAAGAAAACTCTGAAAGAAAGGTATCCATGCCTGTATCAGCAGTATAGATCTATCGAGAGACTCTACAAAGTTGAAGTTAAAAAGTTTAAGCACAAAATTCCTGCGCTAGAGTCATATTCCAAAGCTAAAAAGGCTGAGGAAGAAGCTGCTCTTTCCTTGAAGACTATCAGAAATCTCCAGCGCAAGCTTAACAGTGTCTGTGTCTCAAAAGATAACAGAGATACTTTCGGAGGGACTTCTGAGCGGAAGCTTCCCTTCGAGGGCAAGAAAGAAAGTGTTATGAACATGCAAGAGTGTGTAAAAATTGATAAAATAGAACAAACTCTTAAGGCCAAAAATGGATGCGAAACTGGTAGAAATAATCCTAAAATTTAGCTATACAATACCTAAAACTTAGAGAGACAAAAGATAAGGATATAGCAATGACACTCGCCAATAAAGTTCACTGTAACGACCCAATATCTTTCAAGAGCATTGGAAGAGATGGCTTTGAGTTCCTATACGAATCTCAGATGAAGAACAATGACAAAGAATTTGCAATGGTTGTAGATCGAATTAAATAAGAACATCCCAAATACAGATGTGCAGAAGTACTCTAAAACGAGAAGAATGAAGTCGAATGACTTATTCAGAGATCATAATGAAAAGCCATACACAAAAGCACCAGATCATTTCTATTATCAGAACAAGGAGGATAAGAATGAATTCATTCAAGAAAGCAATGAAGCAGAAAAGTACATAGAAGATCTCATCACAGAGGAGAGCCAGTATAGTGATCCAGGAGCTGAACTTAGTGATGTATGAAAACTCTTATTAATATTGTAGGACCTTGCTGAAGTTAAAAAGATAATGAGAAGACACCAATCAATGCAACAGCTCAGTAACGAAGAAGGTAGCCCACTAGCTAACCCATATAGGAGAGAAAGATATTCTCAATGCCGTCAAGGTCCTTAAGAATAGTCCATATGGTTCTAAGATGTCATTTACTAAACTATTTAAGAATATTCTGAAAGCCACAAGGAAATAAGAAAGCTTCTGATAAACGTAAGAAAAAGCCTGATCACAAAAAGAGATCGCTTATTGAAGATGATGAAGAGATGATGACTAAGTCTCAAATACAGGAGCTAAGGAAAGCAAAAATTATTGAGAATTTTATCAGACAGATTCCTTCCAATAAAAGTAAGTTCATGTATAACTCTTCAAGAATCAATAATCAGGCAGAAGATTCAGAAATCTATTCTTCATCCGACTACATGGATCAGGATTTTCCTCGAGGAAGAGAAACGAAAGCATGAGTGTAAGATATATGTGGCTAATTCTAGTCATTCAAAGACAGGTGGAGAATAATAAATAAGCAGGAAGTGTCCCTTGGAAAGCTTTCTATGCACCAAGAAAGTAAGCAAAAGAGCGTCATGAAAAGCCGGATGGATATGATGAAGAGGTTCGCTCCATTACTTTCCCAGAGCACCTTGACAAGTAACCAACTTAGATTTTGTCTAACATGGTTCTTTAGATAAACTTTTTAATTCAAAGAAGTCGTTACTTGGGCTTTCAGATTTCCATAAAGATCATAATAAGGACACCAGAGACAAAATGGTAAAACAATTAGAAGAGCGGCTCAAAAAAGCAGAGGAGAACAAGAAGAAGTTAGAAAAGATCTCCCTCCAACCCACTATTATGCACACCACTACTGTATATGCTCAACCTCATGTTTAGGTCACAGAAAGGCTGAAGAACTTTAATAAGATTCAAGAGGAAGCCTACTCTCAGAATAAGGCGGAATATGAACAGAGGATTCTTTCAAAGAAAAAGAGGCTATCAAATCCTTATTAATCCTTTACATATTTTTATGTCTAATTTGGGAGGGTAATTGGGGTTTTGGGGTTTTGGGGTTTTGGGG